GAGAGAGAGAGAGAGAGATGGATGGTGGGAAGTAGAGCGATGAGAATTTTGTATTGTGCCAATACGGTTGCAATGAAAGGTGTTTGCCAACCGAAAGACTGGAGGTGGAAGAATATTTCCTAGGGATTACGGGAGGGTTTGAAACATTTAAGAAGTGCTTTCATTGGGATTTTCCCAACTTCAGTTCTCCCTTGAAAGACTTTGCTGGAGTGGGCTTTTGCAGGAGACAATTCATTTGTTCATTTATTTCAGGAGTGTGAAGATCTGCCCGTGAATTTCAGAGACTCTGTGCCCAGTCTTTCCTTGCACACCACCTCATTTGGAAAAATATTTACATGTCATCTTTCCAAGATAGATAAGGTCTGTGGTCATAAATACTCCTTTGAAAGTCTGTTTGCCAGGCCTTGGCTGAAGGTGAATGAGAGGAATTCGCATTCGTTGAATAAAAGGGGTTTTGTCGGGATCAGGAATCTGCTTTGTGCTTTTTTGGGGAAGCCTAGGTCACAAGATCCACGCTGCTCTGAACTGCCAATGTTGGCTTCCATTTTTCAGTTACTGCTGTGCAGTTCCACGGAAACCTCTTGAACGCACGCAGGAATTAGGCTAAACCCCACAGACAAAATTGAAAAGTGGTAGATTGCAATGAGAAGGATGTGTGTGTGTGGGGGGGGGAAACAGAGAGGATCAAAGCCTTATGGAATGTGGTCCAGTTTCCCGGGATGGAGAGGCTGCATTTCAGAGGAGTAGGAGCCAACTAAGTTCAGATAGCTTTGTGTGAGAGAAAGAGGGTGAAGACGTATCCTCCCTAATAGTTCCCAGAAAGGGCTTCACATAGGTAGTAGGCTGCTTTGGTTAGGCAAGAATCTGTCTATAGGTATAGAATAAGAAAGACATCTACTTAGAAGAAATTTCCTTTCCTTTCCTTCTTTCCTTTCCTCCTTTCCTTTCCTTTCTTCTTTTCCTGTCCTTTCCTTTCCCTTTTTCTTTTCCTTTCTTTTCTTTTCCTTTCCTTTCCCTTCTTCTTTTTCTTTTCTTTTCCTTCCTTTTCCCTTCCCTTCTTTTCCCTCCCCTCCCTTTCCCTCTCTCCTCCTCCTTCCCTTCTTTTCCTTTCCTTTCCTTTCCCTTTTTCTTTTCCTTTCCTTTCCTTTCCCTTCTTTTTCCTTTCCTTTCCTTCCTTTTCCTTTCCCTTCTTTTCCCTCCCCTCCCTTTCCCTCTCTCCTCCTCCTCCCCTTCTTTTCCTTTTCCTTCCCCTCCCCTCTCTCTTCCTCCTCCTTCCCTTCCCTTTCCCTCCCTCCCTTCCATCCATCTATCTTTCCATCCATCCATCTTTCTTCTTTAGGGAAGCTGACACAAAAACTTTCTTAAATTGCCAAGGAACTCATCTTTAAAAGACCCCAGTCCAAACTGGTGCTAGTTAAGGACAAAGGCATGCCACATCTGATAAGGGTTGTGCAGAGAAAACTCCTAACACAATACAGCTTTTGAACGGGAGATGGGATTTTGTCATGGCGCCACAGATCTAACTGT